TATGACCCCGGTGGCATGGCATTTCGATCCAGTCTGGACTCGCTTGTGAGCTAGGAACATGGAAACGATTTGTCTTGCTTTCCTGGTCTATCTGGATCCACGTGGCTCAGACGCCCCTCACATCAGGAACATCCACCGATTCAGTGGAGCATTGTATAAATGAAGCATTTTCAAGAGATTCGAAGGCCATTTTTGTACGGAGCAAAATGAATGTGTATCTTCTACATACAGGATTATGGCAGTAAGTGCTAGTTCTGACTATGATGGTTGCTTTGGATTGTCGGTTCCTACTTCATATCGAATCCCTTCACAATGCTGGGAGTCATGGCACTTCGATGCTGGCTGATCTCTGTGGTTTGCAGCTTCTCAACGAGATCCGAGTTGAGAGATGCGCTGCTCCAGCCGCTTGGCTCCTCTGCCACGACGTGGCAGGACAGACCGGGATCACCTGTTTTTTCATACCCCCCAGATGCTCCGTTCACAGCTCAGATGCTCCTGAAAACCCCAGTGATTTTTTCTCAGGTCCGAACCCCTGACCAGTTCGGATTCGGCTCCGATTTTTTCCAGAGGATTCGGGTCAAGACTTCGTGTCTGAATGTATTCGCGTCGACCCTCAGCTTCGCGTCGACCCTCACCACGCAGGGCACTTTGGGTCGCAATCGACGCTCCACCGACGTCGGGGAAACCGATGTCCTTGGCGGGGGGACATGGGGGACCGGGCTGGTTTTCCACCAGCCCAGAGGAGGGCGGTGAAACAACACTTGGGCAAGAACCATCTAGCACGCATCCCCCAAGTACTCGGGGCTTGTTGATGGGTTGAGGGTTTAAGGTTTGGGACCCACATGTTGGGATAGACCAGACAGCTGAGCCCCGTGTTCCTCCTTGACCCCAACACACCATGCTGAGCACCATGCTCATGCTCCCATCGCGTTGCGTCGATCAGGTGTCCGACCAGGATGTCCCCTCGTCCCAGTTCCCCTCGTCCCGGTGCACCTGGCGTCCCCAGAGCAAGTGAAGTCCCGAGGTGGTACCATGCGGACGAGGCAACCAAGTTGCAGCTGCCCCACGGAGCGCCTGGTGGATGGGACGTTTCATCGGTGACGAATATGAAGCTGAGCAGCATGGGGCGAAGCGTGAGCTGGTGAAGTTGGGATAAGTCGGGATCATTTAGTTAATTATTTGGAAGGATTTGACAGGAAGAGTGACAGATCAGGCACCCCAGTTGCCAGTTCCGGTGCCGGAGGGATCGAAAAAGCAAGGGCCGTCTTGCAAGACAGGTGACCAGAAGCCAAGTCCACCCATACCCATGAGGGGTTAGGCACTTGGGCCAAGTTTTTGAGCCGAAGGGATGCCGTTTTGGGTCCCAACCCCCTTGGAAGCTGACCAGGATGGATTCGTTGTGTAGGGCGAAGTGGGATTCAGAACTGAATCCGTGCCTGAACCCCTGGACTCTGGACCCCCACCATTTGCAGCGCGCATGTATGTTTCCAGGAGTCTCAACTACTTGGTTTTTGTACAGATTTGATGTTTGCAATGTGGTTAGGTTGTTTCATTGCGGGAATGGCACGTCGATCCGAGAGTTGGATTTCAGGCTGAATCTTCTTCGACCTTCGAAGGAGGTACCACCCCCCTGGACTTTGGAGATAACTATAAAGTATATAATGGATAGTAATGGTATGTAATGGTGGGATGACTAGTGACTAGGTGAGAGAACCCTCAGACCTTCCAAAGATCCTGGAGGCTTTTAAGATGCACTTCTGCCTGGCCTACTGGCTTAGCTATCTTAGCTCACTTCTGCCTAAGTCTGTCTTTGGTGCCTCGAAGCTTTGAACACTTCTGAGGAGTGGCCTCTTCAAAGACCTGGAGCACTTCAACGAGAACATCAGCGCCTGGGATACCTCCAAGGTCGTCGACATGAGCTCCATGTTCTACGGAGCGGCTGCCTTCAACATGCCCATCGGTCCCTGGGCGGAAGCATTGGTCCTGGCACCGGGCCAGTGGTGCCATGTACGCTCCAGGACTCCAACTTAACGATGCTCATCTACCATGAACGATGCAGTCATTGTCGAGGTCGTTTTAATTGCCCCGAAGCTCCGAAGCTCCGAAACTCCTGCCCTTCTCCTCTCGCCAGGTCTCTTCTCCTGCCCTTCTCCGCTCTCCGAGCTGGGTCGGTGGCATCTCTCCCAACGACGCCATGACCGGGCTCCGCTCCGTCTCCGCTCCGTTCCCCGGTGACGCCGCCGGTGGGTGCCGCTGGCAACCGCCGCAGTCAGAGTCAGTCAGGTGCAGCCAGCCGTTGCCGTGTGTGCTGAGTGCTAAGAAGTAGAGAGAGTTAACTGGCCGTTGTGGTTTCTTTTTTACTCTTTCTTTGCGACATACAATTAGGATTTGAGAGTGGTAGGGCAAACAACTGGCAGTTGCCACAGATGTGGTAGGAGATTGGTCGCCCATCCAACAAACGCAACATTGACAGATAAGAGCAAGACGGTAGGAAATAGCTTCGCCCCCAAAAGTAGTACTGTAATACTGATTGCTTCTATGTCGAAACCAAGGCGAGTGGAACACATCACGCGTGCAGACCATGAACAAGATGTTTTGGAAGGCTACGAAGTTCAACCAACCAATTGGATCGTGGAAAACATCAGCAGTCATCAACCTGTACGGCATGTTCTACAGAGCCGCTTCCTTTGATCAGCCAATTAATGCTTGGGATACGGCCAGTGTGAGGAACATGAAAGGCATGTTTTACGGGGCTACGAATTTCAACCAACCCATTGGATCGTGGAAGACCGCAGCAGTCGTTGATATGTCCTTTATGTTCCAACATGCCACTTCCTTCGACCAGCCGATCGGTGCTTGGGACACAGCCGATGTGAGAGACATGAAAAGCATGTTTTACCAAGCTAAAATGTTCAACCAGCCCATTGGATCGTGGAACACATCAGCAGTCGTTGACATGTCCTTTATGTTTCAGCATGCCAGTTCCTTCAACCAGCCAATCGGGTCGTGGAAGACCGCAGCAGTCGTTAACATGTCCTTTATGTTCCAGTATGCCAGTTCCTTTGACCAGCCAATCGGCGCTTGGAATACAGCCAATGTCAGGGACATGGGCAATATGTTTGCGGGTGCAGTGGTCTTTAACCAGCCCATAGGGTTGTGGAACACTTCCGCAGTGACGGACATGCAGCAAATGTTCATTGGTGCCACTTCCTTTGATCAGCCGATCAGTGCTTGGAATACGGCCGGTGTGAGGAACATGAAAGGTATGTTTTACGAAGTGCCGAAGTTCAACCAACCCATTGGATCGTGGAACACTGCAGCAGTGGTCGACATGTCTTTTATGTTCCAGCGAGCCAGCTCCTTCGACCAACCGATCGGTGCTTGGGATACTGCAAATGTCATTGACATGCGGAATATGTTCACGGTTGCAGTGGCCTTCAGCCAGCCCATAGGGTTCTGGAACACTTCGGCAGTGACAAACATGCACCAAATGTTCCATGGGGCCAGTTCCTTCGATTAGCCAATCGGTGCTTGGGACACGGCCGGTGTGAGAGACATGAAAGACATGTTTTACGATGCGACGAAGTTCAACCAGCCAATCGGGTCGTGGAAGACCGCAGCAGTCGTTGACATGTCCTTTATGTTTCAGGGTGCCAGCTCCTTCGATCAGCCGATCGGTGCTTGGGACACCAGCTCAGTTGCAAACATGTCTAGCATGTTCGGAGGAGCAACGTCCTTTGACCAACCCATCGGTGCATGGGACACGTCTCGAGT